TGATATAAAACTGAGTTAATTTTTAATTTGTTAACTTTTAATTTTTTTAATTTTTTAAATCATTATGGCTATGTTAAATCATGACAATAATTAATTTTAAATTGTTTATTTGTATTCGAAAAACTTAAAATATTGCTTTTAAAAATAATTTTAAATTTAACATAATTTTTTAGAAAATTATTTTTAAAAAATATAATTTAAAAAAAAAATAATTTTCTAATATTATTAGACAAATAAATAAATTATATTAAATTAGTTTAGAAACTTTATTTATTTTAATTGCAAATATTTTACCAATTGCTTCTTTAAAAACATTAGGGAACTTGCTATACTCTACCAATCAAGCCCAGTGACACTCCATTTATTTTCCATCACTCGAACACTGAAAAGTAAAAAAATATATGAAATCAGATCCATTAAATTCTAAGATTTGATTTACATTTCTAATTATAATTGTTTTTGATCATACGTATAGATAATTATATAAAAATTCCAAAATTCTAAAATTTCAAATACATTACAAAAACAATCATATGTAAATTTTAAATTTGTGAATATTAAAATTTTATATTTTAATTACATATATTCACCCTGCGCAAGGCGAAGGTCTTATCCTAGTAGTTAATAAAATGGCTGTATATAGAATTAGCAGAATCTAATAATTTGAGTTAATGCCTAGTGGCTAGTAGTCACCATATCATTTTCAACTACAAATCTGCATGAAAAAAAAATGAATTTCGCATTTTTTTCATTTAAATAACCAATTATTAATTATAGTAATTCAAAAAGTCATTAGAGTACTTGTTTAAGTTCGATTAACAGAACTAGTTAACAAGACTAGTTCACAATCTATCTCAGCAAGCAAAACAAAAAAAAAATGGCAGTCCTGAAATTTTAATCCCTATGTATACATATGATATTTGTAGATATGTTAACATCAAATATCATCCACTAGACGAGAAACTCAAAGAAATATCTAAAGACAAGTAGACCAAAAAATCTCGAACGAATATCCGAACTTTTTGTACCAATCCGGTTTAAATCCGGTTAACCACCGGTTTAATAAAAAAATTCGAGATAAGACAGTGTTTGTTACCAATCTCCTTCTCAACACTCTGCAACAACCTCTCACTCACTTCCACCATGGTTTCTCTCACAGCAACCATCCTCAAATCCTCACTCTTCACCCAATCCACAACCCACGGGTTCCCCACCAACCCGATAACCCGACGACGATGCCACGTCACTCTCCCAATAACCGCCAACGCCTCCCGCAAACCCCAAAACATGATCCCAAAAAACCCGCCGCCGCGTCAAAACCTCTACCAACCTTTCCGACCACCGTCCTCCCCCGTCCCACCTCAATTCCGCTCCCTCGACTCCGCCGGAAAAATCGAAATCCTCGCCGGACGCCTGGCTCTCTGGTTCGAATACGCTCCCCTCATCTCCTCCCTCTACGCCGAAGGCCTCACCCCTCCCAACATCGAAGAACTCACCGGAATCTCAAGCATCGAGCAGAACCGTCTCATCGTCGGCACACAGGTCCGCGACTCCATCGCTCAGTCCCTCCACGAACCAGAGCTCATCGCGGCGTTCGACACGGGCGGCGCTGAGCTTTTATACGAGATTCGTCTCCTCAGCACCACGCAGCGCGTCGCCGCCGCTGCTTACATTATAGATCGTGGTTTTGATTCGAAGAAGGCGCAGGACTTGGCGCGGGCGGTTAAGGATTATCCTAGTCGGCGTGGAGACGTTGGTTGGGTTGATTTTGATTATAATCTCCCTGGAGACTGTCTTGCGTTTTTGTATTATAGGCAGAGTAGAGAGAATAAGAATCCGTCGGAGCAGAGGACGTCGATGCTTCAGTTAGCTTTGGATGCGGCGGAGTCTGAGAAGGCTAGGAAGAAGCTGGAGAGAGAGTTGAATGGAGGTTAGTTAGTGTAACTAACTTTTAAACCGTTTAACAGAATATTAAACCGGTCGGTTATTTAAGCATACTCCATGTTCGGGAACTCACTAGGCGTTAGTTGGAAGACAGGTTGAACCTAACGTCTAGACAAATACAAATAATTGGTATGGTTGGACCTAGCATCTAGCGTTTAGACAGAAAAACGGGAATTAAACGGGAATTAAACGAGAATTATACATAGCAGAATTTTTGAATGATTTGATATGTTATAAAATAGTAATTTTTAATTGTCTATAACATTAATATATTTTCAAGCTTATAACCTTATAAAACACACAAAGAATATATAAATTTAATATACTATAATTTTCATCATAATTATGATTATAATTTATATTCTCTCCGTTTCTGAATAAGTGTCACTTTGCCATTTTTCACACAGATTAACAAAATGATTGAAATATATGTAAATTATTATTAATTATACCTCTTTAACCAATAGTATTTTAGATAAATAGAATTATTTATAAAATCAATGCAGTTTGTAATTAATTTTCAGCTGCAAGTAAGTATAATTTGCATTGGAATTGTAAAATGACACTGTTTATGTAACAAGAAAAAATGGTTAGAATGACACTTATTATGAAACCGATAGAGTATTTATTAAATTTTAAGATTAAATAAATAGATAAAATATTATTATATAATAAAAATATATAAAAATACTAAACCGATTAATCTGTATTTACATAGGGGAGGAAGAGGAGAAGGTGAAGAAGGAAGAGGAAGTTAAAGCGGTTACGATTCCGGTAGTGAGGTTAAAGTTCGGTGAGGTGGCAGGAGCGAGCAATGTGGTTGTTTTACCGGTTTGTAAAGCGGAGGAAGGTGAGAGGAGTGTTCTTGAAGCTCCGATGGAGAGTAAGGCTGGTGGGGAGTTTAAGGTTGTTGAGGCGGAGAGAGGGTGGAAGAGATGGGTGGTTTTACCGGCGTGGAAGCCGGTGGCGGCGATCGGGAGAGGCGGTGTAGCGGTTTCTTTTAGGGATGATAGGAAGGTTTTGCCTTGGGATGGAAAGGAGGAGAGTTTACTTGTGGTGGTGGATAGGGAGAAGAGTGTGGTGGAAGGTGGTGATGGATACTATCTTGTGGTGAGTGAGAATGGGTTGAAGTTGAAGAAAGGATCGGTGTTGAAGGAAGGGAATGTTGGGGAGAGTTTAGGGATGGTTCTTTTGGTTGTTAGGCCACCGAGAGAAGATGATGATGATTGGCAGAATAGTCATGAAAACTGGGACTGAGTCCATGTTCTGTAATAGAAACATTTTGAGACATGATCATGTATAATTTTTGGATAAAGGTTTGTTTTAAGACACAATGAGATGAAACAGAGCAAAGATTTTCTCGTTAGTTTTGGTGAATTTTTATTAACCAAGTGAGTCAATGGCCATTGCCTTGCTTCCTACGGAGATGTTTTTTTCTCTAACAGAAGCCCAGAGTTCGTCACTCTGCTGTGATGTGAACCTTGACACGTTCTCAAACGCATGTTTCACAAATATATCTATAATAGTTTGGGACCTGAAGATGAATCCAATCGTTACACGTTTTTTGAAAGAGATCAAACAAAGAAAAATTCGGTCAAGCAATTAGCATCAAGTATGGAAATGAGTTGAAGCTACAAACCTTCACAATATGTGTTACGGAGTGTATTTTGAGAGACTTAACGTAGGAGGCGGCAAGCACTTGGCCATTTCAGCTGCAATGAGAGAACAAAAATTGGTAAAATACATTTCAAATGACAAATGGCATACATTTTTCAAGAATTGGAGCAGAATGGCGAGATCCATTCACTAGTCAGCCCAAAACACTAGGCTTTCGAGAGCAAAGTAGGATACAATTCAACTTCCAAAATCAGAAAACAATTGGCTTAGGCTTTTTCACACCATTTTATTAGGTAAGTGTCCATTTCCACCACCAGTTATGATTTTCTCAAGAGTATCCTATTATTCAATAGTAGCAAATTGATCATAAATCTTCATGTATAGCATTGTTTAGAAGATATTCGGTGCTATGGTTTGATTAACTATCCTATTCTCACATTACCAAAAGAATAAACTCCAAAAGAAAACACTATTCTCATTTAAATCCGATAAATACATCGTAGATAATTATACTGTATTCAATTGTTTTTATATTCAAGAAAACCCTTATGATTCAACTTCCGAAATATAATATTGTTAATGGGAAAACGATCGTGCGCCCCATTTGTTGAACCTCGGCGCTCGACCCTACACATCAATTATAACGCTAATTTAAAAAACTAAAAAAAATGATAGGTTTAAAGAAAATTATCTTAACCAGTCAAGTACTAAATGTCAGAATAGGGTCGTAACTAATTAGAACTTATGTGTTTAACGATCTTCTGTGGACGATAGTTTAAGATTTATATCCACAAGGAGATGTTCAAACTCTCGTAATGTTAAGTAATCAGTTATCATACAAAATTGGTTGTAAGCATTATTATGACAAAATTTCTTTCAAAGTGCCATGTTATAATAATCTTCTTACAAAAAGGTCGCTGAAAAACTCGATCGTGGTAAAACCTGGAGTGCATACTGTAATGTAATAAGACTTTTTCTCAAATAAAATTTATGTCACTCTCTCAAGACACCAGCCTTTGGTTGGGTGATTTGTTTTCTCTTTTATATAGACGATAATAACGTATATATATGTATTAATATTAATTAATATCTACATATGATTCCACTTGTTATATAAGTTAGCTTACATTACATCTTTTCTCTTTCTTGCTTAGCATCATTCTTTGTCGTGTTCTTTTAATTAACATTTCTTTGTCTTGTGTTTCTCACAAGTCACAACACTTTGTAAAAGTGTTTTAAAATCAAGATCTGAAAAATCTTATCTCCTCTATTACAATTTCCTCATCTTCTCGTTCTAAAAAAAAAAATCACTTATATTTATAGAGGGCTTCATTTTTGGAATACATAATCAGATATAACCTCTTTAGGGTTTTAATGGCGAATCCATGGTGGACAGGGCAAGTGAATCTCTCCGGCCTCGAAACGACGCCGCCTAGTTCCTCTCAGTTAAAGACACCAGATCTCCACATATCCATGAACATGGCCATGGACTCTTCAGGTCATAACAACCATCATCATCATCACCAAGAAGTCAACACCAATAACAACGACGATGATAGAGACAACTTGAGCGGCGACGACCACGAGCCACGTGAAGGAGCCGTGGAAGCTCCCACGCGCCGACCACGTGGACGTCCTGCTGGTTCCAAGAACAAACCAAAACCACCGATCTTTGTCACACGCGATTCTCCAAACGCTCTCAAGAGCCATGTCATGGAGATAGCTAGTGGGACTGACGTCATCGAAACCCTAGCTACTTTCGCTAGGAGGCGCCAACGTGGCATCTGCATCTTGAGCGGTAACGGCACGGTGGCTAACGTCACACTCCGTCAACCATCAGTGGGTGCTGTTGTTGCAGCACCCACTGGTGGCGCGGCTGTATTGGCCTTACAAGGGAGGTTTGACATTCTTTCTTTAACCGGTTCTTTCTTACCTGGACCGGCTCCACCTGGATCCACAGGTTTAACTATTTACTTAGCCAGTGGTCAAGGTCAGGTAGTTGGAGGAAGCGTGGTGGGACCTTTGATGGCAGCTGGTCCAGTGATGTTAATCGCTGCCACGTTTTCTAATGCCACTTACGAGAGATTGCCTTTGGATGAGGAAGAAGCGGCTGAAAGAGGTGGCGGAGGAGTGGTTCCAGGGCAGCTTGGAGGCGTAGGTTCCCCGCTGAGTAGCGGTGGAGGTGGAGGCGACGGGAACCAAGGACTTCCAGCGTATAATATGCCCGGGAATCTTGCTTCTAGTGGCGGTGGAGGAGGACAGATGAGTGGCCAAGAAGCTTACGGTTGGGCTCAAGCTAGGTCAGGATTTTAACATGCGTTAAGGTGTTTTTTATTTACAGCAGTTAACAATAAAGAATTATGTTGATGTCTGTTATGATAATGATGATGAAAACTAGTCAGTTGCTAGTTGCTACTAGTGAGATATATGACTAGATTATTATTTGCTAAAGTTCACTTACTTGTGTGTGTTTATGATCTTTTATTAAAAGTTTTATCTTTGTTGGATTCTTAATTGTTTTTACAATGAAGTTATTTGTGCATATATGTATGTGATTCATGATCTTTAGGGTTGGCCATGTTTTCCATGTACTCCATATGAGTAGCAGTATATAGGCTATATATAATTGGTTTTATTTTGTTTGCGGGTATGTTGATTGGGATTAATAACAAGGCTCACACTCACCTGGCCTCAGTAAAAATAAGTTGGTTTAATTTTGCAAAAAGTTATGTAAGAAAAGGATTGATTCACATGCAAATCAATACTCCAAAAAATGCTTATTTATTACCACCTTTTGAACAAAACATCGGATTCTAACATGATTAAGAGCAACAAGATCACGTAAAATAATTATTTAAGCTATGTACACCAGAATACATTTATCATATAAACAAAAAGTTTAGTTCGATAAAAAAAAGGTCTAGTACTCTAGTTCAATTCCACAAATTCACAAACAGTTTATTTTATTATATTCAGATTATGGTCTTTTGGTGCAGTGAATTATTTGATGGTAAACTCACATAAAATATCGTTTCCGAAGAACAAGTTCACATCATGATTAGTCGGATGCTAGGGATGAAAATATCAAATGAAATTAATAAAAGTACTATTAAAAAACATGCACAGATTCAGATTTGTATGTTCATTTAGCATGCAATCTTCATTAAACTATACTCTAGTGGAAAAGATGATTTTTCCAACAAAAAAAATCTATATGTGCTACTACCAGTCTACCACAAGCTATATTAATATAGGTTATTTCAAGTGAAATGACAATAAAATGTTCTAATAAAATATAAAGGCATGTGTTATTTGGAAATTAAATAATCTGGACTGATGCTCAAGCTTATAATTAATGGATGTGTGAGTCTACACCGTCTAATATCTACACAAAGAAGGGTCAACCACAACTTAATATAACTAAATCAGTCGGCTACAAAACTAATTTTGTTAAATATATTTTTAAGGTACATTCCAGGTTCAATGTAACTTATTATACCAGGGGAATAGAAAAGGTCCAATGTGCTATTTTTGTGCTATTTTCAGGGAAGAAAAATTACATAAGGGATCTCTACAGCAAACCCATCATCAGGTTTTCCCTCAAACTCTCTTCTCTAGCTTCTTATCATTGACTATGGGATGTGAGTGTGATTGCAGTAGATTCATGTTCTTTTGTTAGGAGTATTTGTTTTCGTTTGATCATTCTTATGGTTTTAGTGTTGATTTTGTGTTTATTTTTTATTGTGTGTGCTTTTAAAGTTGATGCTTTGGTCGATGAGAATGTAAAGTGATACTAGATTACTAATTGGTGTATGACTGGAGTTTTTGATAATGTGATCAGCTCCTTGGTGTTTACTGTTTAGCAAATGGATCTCGTATAGCTCATTATTAAGGCCTTTGTGTTATTATAATCAGCTTTTTGAAATGGATAAGATTCTTATGTGATTGAAAAGTAGACTTACCTCCTCATGTTGTACTAACTGTTAGAGTCGATTGGTTTTTGGCTATTGTTATAGATGGCAAAGAACAAAGAGAAAGTTGATTCCAAATTGGAAATTGATGATGCCGATTTGATCTTGAAAGTCACCACTTCAAACATTGAGAAAGATACAATAGTAAGTTTAATGAATGAGTTTTTCTTTCTAAATAAGTTTATTTACAATGTGATTTTCAATTTTGACGCAGGGTATTGATAAAGCCAACCGAAAAAAAAACACAACTGCACTAAAAAAACACCAAAGCTTCAAATTCAGTTGATGAATAAAGAAGGCAACTCATGGCATACAACACTCATCTTTAGCAAGGCCCGGGGCCGGCATACTATAAGTGGAGGTTGGACAACATTTTGCAACGACAACAAACTAGAGGATGGTGATACCTCTATGTTTAGGAAAATTGAAGAAGTAGGACATACCCTTACCTTTCAACTGGTAAGTGTGGTAAAGGCGAATGGACAAGAACATGAGGAACAACCAGACAACCTTCCAGAGCCTGAAGTTGTTCACATTGGAAAGCAAAAATGCTCTCAAATGCAAAGCCAAATCAGGGTTAGTATATTATAGTACAAGTTATGGTTTATAAACATCAACTAACTTATCTATACGCTGACTAATAATGCAATCGCAGGAGTTGAGGTCCGGTTCAAGTTACATTAAGGAAGAAATTATGAAGCTTCAAGAGAACTATAGAGAACAGTTCAACCAATTAGGTGAGGGAATAACTGAACTTAGCAATGCTGCGGAA